TTCGAAGTGTATACGGTAGGCGGCGGTATAGGATATGTCGTGGATGTAGTGGAGTGAACGTTGACAATGTTTAGTGAGGAAGAGGAAGTTGGTTCGTATGGAGTATCAGGTCCTTTTTCAGGTTTGGGTAAAAAAGCGTGATGCGGATACGTTGGGACTTTTGTTGTGGATGTCTTTGTAGTCGGGGATGAGGTATCGCATACAGTGTCATAGGAGGGAAGGAAGTGCATATGCATAATGTGTATCGCATTAAGCATATGAAGGACAGGGTTGGTTGACGGAAAATGGGGAGGGCAAGGATCGTCCGATTTTATCGTCCGCCCTGGACAAAATCCATATCAGCGTCATCAGTTGAGTGAGGTTTATCTTCAATGCTGTCAACGATGAGTTGTGTGTCTTCAATTGGTGATGATGCTTGGACTTGGTTAATCGAAGCGTTTGCTTTGTTCAAAGTATTTTGTGCTCGTTTGTACATTTGGCAAAAGTTGATAAAATTTTGACGAAGTAAATTCGATTGTTGGAGGATTGGGCAATTTTCAAAGGTATGGTTTGATGTTTGACCAGTCATCATGTTGCAAACGAGGCATTGTTTATTGAACGAAGCAGGATTGGCTTTGATTTGGTTAATCGACATTGAATAGGCGAGGTCGAGGAAATCATCGTCGACGTCGATGGTTTGGATTTGATTAACCGAAACTGTTTTCGTCGTAGGTGCAAGTGGCTTCGAAGGCTGAACGTATGGGTTGAGTTTTCGGAGTTGATKTCGTTGCGATGATTGTGCGACGGCTGGACTGTTTGGAAGATTCAAATATTGTTGCAGGGTGGCCAAGAAGTTTGAGGGCTCGAATTTGTGTTTGAGATGCGTAAAGTCTTGTTCACKGCGGATTTCGGTTTGAAGGAAGGACGAGTAGTTACAACCGCTGACGAAATGTTCTCGTTCAGTTTTATCGTAAACTGTTTGTTTGTTATTTTCGACTAATGCACGGAGCATGATGTAGTGGTTGTATTTCTTCCAATATTCCATGAGGGACAGTGAACCTTGAGTAGGGCGCGTCGTAACTAGTGATGACGGAGATACMATTAGGAATGGATGTGTTGCACATATAATCGCTTTCAATGCTTCGTAGCCGTGTCCATCGTAGATTTCGACGATTTGTCGAAATTTATTATGGGAGGTACAAGCGATGTGGAGGACATCCCAGATAATTCGAGAGTCGGTAGATATTAGCGTTTCGAATGTCGAATGAAGGTCATCGTGATCGTCCTTTCCGATGGTGAAGCCTCGTGGGTGGTTGCAGTCGGGGCGAAAGCATGGATATGGGTGGCAGTATTTACCATAGCGGGCGCAATGGGAGGTGAAAGCCGTGTACCAATTATAAAGTTCCTAAGATGTTTCGCCTGTCATTTTATTGACGTTGTTGCGAAAGTTCTTTTCACTTTGTNGAGTAGTTACAACCGCTGACGAAATGTTCTCGTTCAGTTTTATCGTAAACTGTTTGTTTGTTATTTTCGACTAATGCACGGAGCATGATGTAGTGGTTGTATTTCTTCCAATATTCCATGAGGGACAGTGAACCTTGAGTAGGGCGCGTCGTAACTAGTGATGACGGAGATACMATTAGGAATGGATGTGTTGCACATATAATCGCTTTCAATGCTTCGTAGCCGTGTCCATCGTAGATTTCGACGATTTGTCGAAATTTATTATGGGAGGTACAAGCGATGTGGAGGACATCCCAGATAATTCGAGAGTCGGTAGATATTAGCGTTTCGAATGTCGAATGAAGGTCATCGTGATCGTCCTTTCCGATGGTGAAGCCTCGTGGGTGGTTGCAGTCGGGGCGAAAGCATGGATATGGGTGGCAGTATTTACCATAGCGGGCGCAATGGGAGGTGAAAGCCGTGTACCAATTATAAAGTTCCTAAGATGTTTCGCCTGTCATTTTATTGACGTTGTTGCGAAAGTTCTTTTCACTTTGTKGTCCGAGGTCTGCAAGGACGAAGTATGAACCATCTCTTGTGACAAAACCGGATGCCAAGTTTTGTTTATCGCGAGCGTAGTTTTGTAGGTTATGGGGAACGGTCGCGATGTCGAGGAGTCTGGTAAGGGTGTCGCTGGTATGGAACATGTATGGGACTTTGTTGAAGTCGTATCATTGTTTGATACCGGAAGAGAAGTTCATGGGGATGAAAGGGTTGATACCGCTCGCGGGCGTCTTCGTTACTTTCTTAGGGGCAAGATGCTTGATTGCGTCAGCTGTTTCATTCAAGATTTCGTTGTTTTGTTTGAAGAGTTCAACAAGGGCCGTTTCGGTAGGTGTCGTTCCAGTGGGAGGTGGCGGAGGTGGCGGGACTGCGTTCGGATCGGTAAGGGGAAAAGGGATTTTGCCGAAGAGCGCAAAGTTGAATACGTTTTTGTTTGTCATTCGATTGTCGATGTAGAAGGCCGACCAGTTGATGTAGAAAACGAGTGCGTTTGGCTGTGCGGTTTTCGGTGCATGGTTTAAAGCGCGATCGAGGTTGCTTCCTCGCACGTGGGCACGTTTGCCTTTGGCGATCTTGACAAGGAGTTGTGTCTTTTCTTTCATCAGCATTCTGATACGAGTTTTATCGGTCGTGTTATACGCGTTGTGTTCKATGTGATCGATGATGTTTTCAAAAACGTTTGGGATAAATTGGCCGACGTCGGAGAAGGCATCTTGGGTCTTGTTGAGGTAGTCGACGAAGTTGTCAGTGAATCCGTATGCTGTGTTCATTGGTTCAGTTAGTTCAGGATAACTGTCGTGTTTAAGAAAGACGGCATGAATGGAGTCAATGTCGGGGTGGAAGGTGCGCTTCAGGGTCTTGCTGCTTCGGGTTTTAGTACTCATGTTGATATTTGTCGGTTGATGCGAAGATGGAAGTATAAAATATATTTCTGATTCAGATCGAAGAAGATATATTTTATGATGAATTTTGCGAAGCGAGTCGAAGTGCAATGTTATCGTAAAAGTGCGGTGTTTGTGAGAAGCTTGAATTTTGTTCGGGATTGAGGTTTTACGGTAACG